AAAAATTAGCCGGGCATGGTGGCGAGAGCCTGTAATCCCAGCTACTTGGGACGCCAAGGCAGGAGAACCACTTGAACTGGGGAGGCAGAGGTTGCAGTGAGCCGAGATTGTGCCATTGCACTCCAGCCTGGACAACAAGAGTGAAACTCCATCTTGGGGGGGAAAAAAAGGATGGAGGAAGAGAACAGGAGGTGCAAGGTAGTGAAAGAACCATTTGAATGTAAATTGCCAGGAGATATGACTTTGTATGGTTTATTTCTGCCCTACAGTGATAAGCATATTGAGGTAATAACAAATATTAGAATGACATCACATCATAAATCTTCACAATCTCTCCTTGAATGCACAAAAGAGAGGGGAGCTATCGCTGGTCTCAGTGGGTGAAGGCACCAGATATGAGAATGTTAAGAAATGGAAGGAGAAGTGGTCAGGGCAGGGTCCCAGGGCCAACGGTCCCTGATGAGGTTTCAACTACTAGATATGTGGAGAGAAACAGACAGATGGTCAGACACTGGCCTTTATAGCTTGAAATACTCCTCCTCCAAGGTCATACATAGGTTTTTGAGCTCATTTCTCTATTGTGGTCACGCTTTTCTGTAACGCAGCCCCCTTGGCAGATGATGCTATACGTTTCAGGGTCAGGATACAGGGGTAGGTCTTGGGGTCATGAAACAGTGTGAGGGCTACCGGTCTAGTAGGGATTGAACCAGGACCCTACCTCATAAGTACCAGATCCTTGGATTAGCAAACTCATACACTAAAAAAATAAAATAAGACACCTTGAATAGCATTCCATTGCCACTGAAGAATAAAGTCAGCACTCATAGGGCTGGTATGTAAGGCCCCCTATTTGCAGGCTCCAGACTCATTTCAACCTTGGGTCTTACAATTTCCTGCATCCTCTGTGCCTACTTAGGGTTTCCTCTAGTGTGTGTCCTGGAATCTTCTGGCTCCCACCCCCACACTGTGCTTATGCCAGTTCCTCTGCTTCGAATACCCACATTCATGTGTCTGGATGCTTCTTGTCCTCAAAGGTGGGCTGAAATGCCATCTGCATCAATCAATCCATCCATCAATCAAAGACTTAACCAACCACACTGATTAAGTGTTTTCAACTTCAAGGCACTGGGTTTAAGCAAACAGGAAGGACTAAGACGAAGCCCCAGGCACAGAGAGGCTCTCTGTATACTTTCTGGTACTTTCTCTATGTTAACATTTTTAAAATCTTGTATTGTTACTCATGTACTCATGGATAAGATTCTTGAGACTGATGGCCAGAGATGTGCCTGATTCATCTGAATCCTCCTCATGGAATCTGTGGAGATCAGTATAATTGCATCTAATAGGCATGCAATAAATGCCTCTGGAAAGAATCAACCCAAGTTCAGGATCCTAGAAGCCTAGGACAGTACCTGCTCCATTCCTAGTGCCTAGCACACCGGAAGTACTCAGTACACATGTGGTGTGGGCAGATGCATTGAAGCAAAGCTGTGAGTGACTTCTTTGGTAGAGAAAGAATCACAAAGACATTGGGTGCTTTGTTCAAGGCCAACATGAAGACCCAAAGTGGAAACCAGAATGTTACACATTCCACCTGATAATGAAAGACAGCAGTGTTTCACAGAGCACGAGAAATCCCTCCTGTGACAAATAACACTCCATTCCCTATCAAACAAAAGGGAGATTCTGTTCTGAGTCACATATTTAAAGAAAACATGTCAGGATCCACAAAATGTCTCTCTCCATACTTAGAGGGGTAATCCACAGAGAAGCAATGAAAACAGATCTGGGCTTTTGTTTATTATCAGCCTTCTCCTTCTCTTGTGGTGACCCCAATCCTTTTAACCACACAGTTCAAAGGGTGCAGAGAGATGCACTGCAGGAAACCAGGATGTAGTGACTTTATGATATTTGTCTTTAAAATTAAAGAAGTTTAAAAAGCCGCTGCCTGGACCACGACTCAGCGATAAAAAGGAATGAATTATTGATACATAAAAGAACTTGGATGAATTTACAGAGAATTATGTTGAGTTAAAAGAGCCAGTCCCCCAAAGGGTACATCTGGATGATTCCGTTTATATAAAATTATTGAAATGATAAAATTATAGAAATGGAGCCGAGATCAGTGGTTGCCAAGCATCAGAGATGGAGAATGGGAGGGAGGAGGGAAATGGATGTGACTGTGAAAGGGAAACCTGGGGAGCCTTGTGACGATGGAGCTGTTCTGTGTCTTGACTGCTGTCACCGTCAATATCCTGACTGTGATGTTGTGCTATAGTTTTGCAAGACAGCACTATTGAAGGGAACTGGGTAAAAGATGTTAACTATTATTGTCTCACAAGTGCATGTGAATCTACAATTATCTCAAAATTAAAAGTTTATTATTTTCTAAAACAATCTTGAAAAAGAAAACAAAGTTAAGGATTCACATTTCCTGATTTCAAAATTTACTTTACAAAGCTACAATAATCAAACAGTGCAGTACTGCCATAAAGACAGACACAGACCAACAGAATAGAAAAGAACACCCAGAAATACACTCTCATAAACATGGTGAAATGATTTTCAACAAGGGTGCCAAGACCATTCAATGGGGAAAGGACATTTTTTTCAACAAATGATGTTGGGAAAACTGGATATCCACACACAAAAGAATGAATTTAGATCCATTTCTTATGCCATATATAAAAATGAACTCAGAATAAATCAGGGACCAAAATATAAGTGCTACAGACCTTTATAAATAAATATAGAAAGAAAGTTACATGACACTGAATTTGGCAATGATTTATTGGATCTGACACCGAAAGCATGGACAATAAAAGAAAAAATAACTGGACTTCATCAAAATTAAAAAAATCCATGTATTACAGGACACAGTGAACAGAATGAAAAGGAAACCTATGGGATGGTAGAAAATACTTGCAAATGATGTACCTGATAAGGGGCTGATATCCAGATTACATAAAGAACTCCTACAACTCAACAACAACAAAAATAACCCAATTTTAAAAATGGGCAAAGGACTTAATTAGACGTTTCTCCTGAGAAGATATACAAATGGCCAGCAAGCATACACAAAGATGCTCAATACCATTAATCATCAAGGAAATGCAAATCAAGATCACAATGAGATACCACCTGACACACATTAGGATGGCTACTATCAAACAAATCCGAAAATAACAAGTGTTGGTGAGGATGTGGCAAAACTGGAACCCTTGTGCACCGTTGGTGGGAATGCAAAATGGTATTGTTGCTATGGAAAACAGTACAACAGTTCTTTAAAAAACCAAAAAGAGAATTATAATACAATCCAGTAATTCCACTTCTGGACATATACCCAAAAGAACTGAGAGCAGGGTCTCAGAGAAATAGCAGCACACTCATGTTCCTAGTAGCATTATTCATCATAGCTAAAATGTGGAAGTGACCCAAGTGCTAATCCATGGATGAATGGATAAACGAAATATGGTATATACATACACTGGAATATTATTCAACCTTAGAAAAGAAGGGAATTCTGACCCATGCTACCACATGGATGAACCTTGAGGACATCATGCTAAGTGAAAGAAGCCAGCACAAAAAGACAAATTCACTTATATGAGGTACCTAGAGTAGTCAAATTCATAGAGACAAAAAATTAGAATGGTGGTTTCCAAGGGCTGGGGGGAAAGAGAGATGAAGAGTTATTATTTAACGAGCATAGAGTGTCAGTTTTGCAAGATGAAAAGAGTTCTGGAGATGGGTTGTGCAACGATGTGAATGTACTTACCACGACTAACTGTACACTTAAAGCAATAAAAATGGTAAATTTTGTTTGTGTATTTTATCAAAACTAAAAAACAAACAAACCCTGGAACAACAACCAAGTTTAATTGAAAGGAAAAAGCCACAAAGCCACTGTCTCCCTGATCCAAGTCCTCGGCACTGTGTCTCAGTTTTCCAAACCAACGGGATGAGAAAAGGAGCCCATTATTTAACAAGACCTCAAAGACTGCTAAAGCCTGGAGATACCTGAGCATCAAGCTTTTCTAATGCCTTTAATTAACTTCATGTCCATTTGATTCACATTCCCTCTGCCTGTTACTTAATTCACCTGAAGTTACTATCAACTTTTCAGTAATGATTCAAAATGTGCTACTTATTTACCTTTGCACTTGACCTTAGGTAGCAGCAAATGGAGAAGTCAAAACCACAGATTAGAGAAACGAAAAATGGAGCCTTTTTCTCCCTAGAGCTGTCATTTTTAATTTATCTATTCCTGCTAGACTCCAAGGTTAGCGAGGGCAGGACTTATCCTCTTTTTGTGTTTTGCCACATACAGATGCTCAATGAACTTTTGTTGACTGAGTGAAGTTGTAAGCACAGCCACATGTGTTCCGCCTAGAAATGTTTACATTGTCACGTCCCCTCTTTTCAAACATGACTGACATAGGGGTTCAGTAATTTACTATGAAGAAAATAAGGGGCATTTCCAAGGAAAGTTCATGGATCAATAACCGCTTTTGAGAAGGCGAGATAAATACACATTCTATAACAATTCTGGTTTAGCAGCATTCACTACTGGTTAGACGCCCCAACGAATCTGAAAAAAACAAACGAATCGAGGTTACTTTGCACAGACCCCCATCCACATACATAACCCCCAGAAATCAATTATATAAGGTGCAAGTTGAAATCCCTCAGATGGAACGCTAAAACTTCCTTCTAGCTCTTCCCTAGTGAGCCGCAAAGTCACCTTTACAATTTTATTTCGACCAGAGCAACATCATTTTTCATAATTACAGAGTTTTAATTTACTTTATGTGACTGTCCAGCCTTTGATGTATTGAGCTAATTAAGTGAAACTTGGTTAAAAAACCAAAGATACAAAAGGGAATTTTGGTAGAAAGTAAAATAGAGAATTTTTTTAAGGAACCCAAAGTAGTACGAGTTGTTGTCATGGTCACTCAAAGAGAGGTTTTCCCCTTAACCACACAAAAATAGGGTCTGACCTGTAAAGCCTGGTTGGTTCTGTTCCCCTTGTTCTCCTTGGGTCTTCCTCCTCCTGATGTCTTCTCAACAGCCACTGGACACTGTTCCTGGAATGGAGAACATCCCTTCAACATTCAGATGGGTGGTAAATTCAAAGTGTGCAACAAACATAAAAGAGAAGGTAGGACTAGGCAGTCACAAACATTTATTTTTGGTTAAACCTGTTTTTTGTTTTGTTTTGTTTTGTTTTTAAGACGGAGTCTCACTCCGTCGCCCAGGCTGGAGTGCAGTGGCGCGATCTCAGCTCACTGCAACCTCCGCCTCCCGGGTTCAAGCGATTCTCCTGCCTCAGCCTCCCGAGCCACTGGGATTACGGGCATGCGCCATCATGCCCCACTAACTTTGTATAGAGACAGGATTTTGCCATGTTGGTCAGACTGGTCTCGAACCCCTGACCTCAGGTGATCCACCTGCCTCGGCCTCCCAAAGTGCTGGGATTACAGGCATGAGCCACCGTGCCCAGCGGTTAAGCCTTACAATACCAAAAAAAGTCACTTTACCTGGTTTCTCTCGTAATCAGAAGGGTCGCAAGCTGTGAAGGGGTGGATACACCTTCTTGCACTTTTACACCACGCACAGCCAGTTTCTGTGCATGCTGGGCATCTAGCAACACAGAAAACTGACTTAATTCCTGCATTTTAGGACAATGTTCACATCCTAGAATTTTCCTCTATGATGTGGCATGCAAGCATTTAAGAGAAGACAAAAAAAAAAAAAAATCCCTGGACAGACATTCCTGTGAGGCTTTGTGCCCTGCTCTTGGAAGCCCTCAGGTTGATGGGCCGGAATGGCACCTGCAGGGGTGTTGCCATGGAAACCTGAAGCTGGGTCACCTGCTGGTCTGTAGATAACAGGAACGCAGTGAATTTGTTTCTGAATCCAGTTCTGCTATTTGTCTACCCTCAAGTAAGTCCCTCTGGAGACGGATCTCTCTCTCTCCCTGCCTCTACCCACCCTGCCTTCCAAAATCGGGAAGCCCTCACTCACTCCAGCAGTCACACTGCCAACTGCCTGGAAGATGTGAGAGAGAAAGTGTTAGCTGGCAAGCAGAGGCAATGAGGTGCCTGTGTTTGCTTTATAATCAAATTAAGGAAGAATTGTGTGTCTACTAATCAAATCACCTATCATGATTGGGTAAACTGTGGAGGACTTGAAAAGCACTTATGAGAAGGAATGTTAAAAAGGGAAATCGGGTTGATCTGGAAACAGGGCCAAGGGAGGCCAGAGGAAACCTTAGCTCTCGCAAGGGGTGCTAGTGCAGGGCATGGGGAGTTTGTTTTATACCTTCTCCAGGAAATGAGGAAACATTCTGAGATTCTGACCTGCAGAAACTGCAGTTTCCATGGAAGGAGAAGACACACTGGCTTTTGCGTGGATCCGGCCTCCTAAGTGAGCTAGAAGTGGGTTTGTGATTTGCATGCTTCTTCTACCCCCGGGGTGTGATTACTGTACTAAGTGCTTTCCTAACAGGAAGCAGTTACCTACGGAAAGGGGGCTCACCCTCCCGGGGGACCTAGGTCTGAGGTCTGGTTCTTCATTACCAAGTTGTGGGACCTGGGGCGAGTCGGTCCCTTTCATCTGCCCTTAAACTGGGCATCAGGGGGCCTACGTTATCTTTCAACTGTCTTTGAGCTATATAATCCTATTTAATTCTCCCCCTTTTTTCCTATTTTCATGAACTTCTGAGGCTTGCTGTAGCAATTTTTGTATTTTTTTCTCCTTAAATTCATTCTGTTTCTTAGCAATCATTGAACTGGGCCTTGTGTCATCTTTTTCAAAGTGCCTCAGTGGAAGAGATGAGGCCCAGGGGCTCCTGTTCTAATCATTCACGAGTAGCCTCCCAGCTCAGCTTCAAGTTCAAATTCATTTTCCCCATAGAAACCATGGTTCCCAAGCCAGGCCAAAAGAAACTCCCATTTGGTGCTCACGTAGCTGGTCAATCAAACCATGGAGTGATCTACAGCACTGCTACTCACGCAGCCTCCCAAGGTGCCCTGCGGGCCTCCATCCTAACTTCCAATTGGAAAGTCAGGCATCTGAGAAACGTATCTCCTCTGTCCTCTTGCTGCTTTAGAAGCAAGGAGCGAGGTTTGGCACTAACTCAGGGGCCTATGTAGCTCAAAGGGGCCAAAGATGGTGAAAAGGGGGGCATCAGGAACATGTTCTTTTGGTGAAAGGGACTTCACCTCGTCCTTCTCAAGTATGACTTCTTACGCCTACGCTCAAGGCTTCTCGTTCCGCCTAAATTCCCGAAGCCATTCCAATCAGGAGAGAACCTAGCAGCGATCCTTCTTCTTTTTGCTGAGACAATCTCACTCTGCCACTCAGACTGGAATGCAGGGCACCATCCTGGCTCACTGCAACCTCCGCCTCCTAGGCTCAGGTGATTCTCCCACCATAGCCTCCCAAGTAGCTGGGACTACAGGCATGTACCACCATGCTTGGCTAACTTTTGTGGTTTTTTGTAGCGATGGCGTCTCACTATGTTGCCCAGGCTGGTCTCAAACTCCTGGGCTCAAGTGATCTGCCCACCTCGGCCTCCTAAAGTGCTGGGATTCCAGACATGAGCCACCATGCCTGGCTTGTCTCTTCTTTACTTACTTCAAGGCTCCTCTCGGTCCTGGGAAGACATATTTCCCTGTGGGTATGAATACTTAATCACAGTGGATCTCTCTCCCTCATGGCGCCAGTTTACTAGTCAGGGCTAGAATGTGTGAGCTGAGCTTATTAGCTCAGTGGCTCTCCTATCTCCCATTACATCATGCTCCAAAAGGCATTTTGGAAAGTTCTGTCTCACAAGAGTTCTTTAGGAAATCGAGGAGTCAAACAAATAAGTAAATTAAGACCAACGAGAGAATATTCAAATTTCAAATAAAATCTTACTCTTTTAATGATGAGCAGTTGGTAAAGTTGAATCTGTCTGATAAATTCCAAGAACCGAAGGAGAACATCACGTTGACAACTGAAACATCTGGAGGGAAGGGGGGAAAAAGTCATTTACGGTGGAGTCCTGCTATAGTCAAGCATAGCTGTAAATGCAAAAAAAAAAAAAAAAATATTTTTGCCTCCTCTGCATAGTGGGCGGGAGCTTGCCAGCTGTTTGCTAACATTTCAATCAGTATGTGGTTCCTTCCCCATGGGCCATTCGCATCAGGCAGCCGAAGTGCACAGCTCAAGCCTCCAAACAGACTGAACCCACCTCAAGTTCCAAGCCTCCCATGGATAATCACTAGGAAGAAGCCATTTTACAGCTCATTTACATCTCATACTCTCCTAGGGATCACTATCTCAGCTTTTAATTGGCCAAGGCATAAGAATAAAACAAATCACCGAGCAAGAAGTGCCTAGAACATGAAAACCGGAGGATTAGAAATCCTGCACCTTCAGAAAAATCCACGCTGCAAATATTTACCTAACATACTCTAAAGTGTAGTTTCCATGGGCAGGGTTCCACGATCTTCTTGGGGTCAACTGTCACCAAATCTGTGATAAAGGCTTTCTTATTTGCCTTTGAAAGCCTACTCATTGGTTAGAAAACCCCAAAAGAACAAAATAACAAGGATTTCAAAACTACTAAATCAGCATTAGAGAAATATAATATTTAAACATATATACTCTATCCAAGGTAGTGATTCTCAAACCCAGTTGTGTATCAGAATCACCTGAGAAACTTATAAAAATATAGATCCCAGGGCCATGCCCCTAAATATTCTGATTTACAAGCCTGGGGTGGATCCAGGCACCTGTGGTTGCATCGCTCCCCACGGAACGATTGTATAGAGCCCAGGTTTGGGGCCACAATACAGAATAGCACCTTTCAAATCCCCTTCTGTCCAGGAACCAGTGCTAATCACAAGGTATTAATATATTTTTCCTTTGATGAATTAATAGGAATAGGAGGTAGTGCTATTTATTTGTTTGTTTGTTTATTTATTTTAGTAGAGATGGGGTTTCACCATGTTGGCTAGGCTGGTCTTGAACTCCTGACCTCAAGTGATCTGCCCGCCTTAGCCTCCCAAAATGCTGGGATTACAGGCATGTGCCACCGCACCCGGCCGAGAGGGTGCTTTTAAAATCCAAGTATTGACAAAATAAGAATCTGGCTTGACTCCGTTGGCACCGCTAATTTTCTTATTGAAATTTTATTAGTGTGTGGTTCCCAAAGTCTAAAAACCCTTACTTTAAGGTCCTTCTGCACAGCAATAACACTCCCTCTGAAAGTCAGAATTCCATATAAAATTCGGTTCACATACAGAGGGTGTGTGTGAAATGATCATCTTCTGTTCTCAAGACAAAGAGGCTTGGAGGGCTGGCATGACCTCTCTGCAAAAGCCTCTGAACAGACACTTGATACATGTGAATAGAATGAACACAGGGACAGTCAGCTCGGAGGGACTCCCAGTGAAAATACACTCCAGTGGAATCTGTAAGTGTCCAGTGATGAAGACTGCAAAAGTCATACATTTTTTCAAGCACCAAATAGGCACAAAACTCTATTTGGAAATATCACAAGGAAATGAATATTCATGATTTCTTCTAGGAAAGCATTTACAGTTATTCTGGAAGAGGTAAAATAATTTAGGTGATGACAGCACAGTCAAGGAAACGACCATATGAGTGGTTTCAGTTCCCTCTGGTAACCTGGGTACCAAGACAGGGGTGTGCATGGAGGACCAAAGTGGTGTTAGAATGGCTGAGAAAGTCAGAGCAGAATCTGGCAAGGGCATATGGAAAGAGGTGACTTTCTCCAATGTTTCAAAGCAGAAAGGGAGACAGGATTTTGTTAAAGAGGGGAGGCCATTCTAGGTTCAAAGAAGGCCACGGATAAAGGCTTGGCATGGCAATGGTCGCTGGCTGGCTGAGTACAAGAGGCTGGGAAGCGAATTTGTTTGCCTGTTTGGAATATATAAGATATTCAGAAAACGGCAGGTGAAGGGTTGGGTGCAACTGATGGAGGATCTAAAAGCAACCAACTAGCTTTACAAGGTGATCTCAAATACTTCAGAGGCATATTTTATAGGTGAGCAAGGTCTGTGTTTTAATGAACAAAATTAACCAGAAATGCATCACAAAGGCTGCACAGTGTGGACAAAGTAAAGTGGAAAATTGAGGTGATTTTCCAAGCAATCAGTCCCAAACAGCCACCACCCAGTGGCTGAGAGCATTTTTAAGCTCACATCTCTGGCCTGGTGCATTAAATTGCCTTTTGAAGGATTTAGGATCAACTGGGTTCTATGGTCTGAATATTTACATCTCCCCTAAACTCATAAGTTGGAATCTAATACCCAATATGGTAGTATTAAGCCATGGGGGCTTTGTGAAGTGATTAAATCATGAGGACTGCACCCTCATGAATGTGATTAGTGTTCTTATAAAAGAGGCTTGAGAGAGTTCCCTTGCCCCTTCTGCATGTGAGAATACAGCAACAAGGCACCATCTGTGGAGTCAGAGACCAAGCCCTTACCAGACACTGAATTTGCTGGAGCCTTGACCTTGGACTCCCCAGCCACCAGAGCTGTAAGCAATACATTTCTGTTGTTTATAAATTATCCAGTCTAAGGTATTTTGTTATAGCAGCCAGAATGGACTAAGATATTGGGTAACTCTAGCTCTCACCACAAAACCCACTCAGCTCCATTAATGATCATCACTCAGTCCTGGAGACGTTCTCCATGAACTCAACTCTACTTCTAGTCTTTCTCATCCAAAGAGACTCAGGAGTCCTCAGTCTGCCCACTGTACCTCCTAACCATCTATTGAATCCACTTCTCTCCATCCCCCTTGGCTTCTCCTCCAGCTCTCACTTTCCCTCTCACCTGGACCCCTCCAATAGCTTTCCTATCTGATCTTTTGGAACTCAGTCTTTCAATCTTTCCCTTCTTTGGCCCATTCTCCACCTTCAAGCTATTCATTCATTCATTCATTCAAGAAACATTTATTGATTGTGAATGGCTACGTTGTGCCAGACACTGTTCAAGTCTTCAACAGAAAGGGAGACGTGAAGATGTCTTCCCAAAGTCCCTGCCTCCATGGGGCTTACATTCCAGTAGGAAAGACAGACAATGCACAATTGAACCTTTCTGTAATATAAATCTGATTGTGCTGCCAGTCTCCAGCTTCAACCTTTCAGCATCTCATCACAGCTCCCAGGATTCACAGTTCACAAGGCCTTTCATGGTCCCCAAGATACCTCCTTTGGTATCTATCTTCTCTTCCTTTCCCCTTTCCACCTTCCCCTACCACATTTGCCTTGGCCATATAGAAGCTCTTTTGGTTCTTCAAATAAAGCTTTTTCTCTCCTGGACATCATGCAGGTTGGTCTCTGTCTGAAATACCCATCCCCCTCCTCTTTGTCTGGCTCAACTCTACCCTCGCCTTGTCTGGACATCACTTCCTCCAGGAAGCTTTCCTTCCCCCCTTCCCCCTCCGCCATGTCTGGTCAGGTACATTTTTCATGTGCTTCTCATGGTACTCTATGTTCCCTGCATTTACACACTGCATTGTAACGAGCTACTTACTTCTCTCTATCCCTGTGCACAGTGTTTTTTTTTTAGGGGCAAGGGGGAGTCACTGTATCCCTAGCACCTAGCATATGGCCTCACATATAGTAGATGTACAATAAATACTCCCTGGATGGATGTATGAATGCAATGAACTCAAACTGATAGAATACTGATTGTTAAAATTTCTCATCTCACCCAGGGCATTTCTTGCTTTTCAGATCTCTGAATTATCTAAACCATTTGGGTACAGTTGGCCCAATGCTATCTGGCTTTTCTGCACTCTCCTATCCAACTTGCCCTCCTCTTATCATTGCCCAGGCATATCTGATAGTGGGGTCTTGGAGTCAAGGAATGAGGTAAACCAGAGGTGAGGAGGACCCAGAGGAAAAGTGGGAACCAGGGGGTAGGGAGGGAGTGAGTCTACAGAGGGGGAACTATTCAGATTCCTTGGGCAGACTGAACTCAGGAGGTTCCCTTGTTTTTTTGACTTTATAACAAAAATAAAGAGTCCACATACCTTTGTAGGTTGCTCTGGTTGGGATGCTACAGGTGCAGGTCCGGTTGGGCTGACTTTTATTCTGGCAGAGCTCCCTGCTAGAGTCCACGTTCTTCACCATGCACTTTGAGTGTCTTGGAGAGAAGCTTCCCACCACAGTCACTGTAGTCTGTGCAGGGAAGATACAGGGAAAAAATGATGATTTTTGCCTCATTTCCATCACAGAGCCTCATGTGATCTCACCTTTTGACCTGCCACAGGAAGGAGAATTTCTCAGAAGAGCTGATGTAAAGAATAGATGTTTCTGGGTGACAGAGCAAGACACTACCTCCAAAAATAAATAAATAAATAAATAAATAAAAATATAAAAGAATAGATGTTTTGTTGGCTATTGGGTTCGCTCTTTTGTACACTGCATATTCTTATTCTTTGACCATTTTTCTGCTTTGTGTATAAATTTTTCTTATCAATTTTCAAGAGCTCTCTGCATGGTGTAGATATTAATCTTTATCTGTCATATTTCTGACACATATTTTTCTCCTAATCTATTGTTTGTCTTGTAACTTTTGCTTGTGGCATCTTTTATCCTTACACAATGTGCTTTTAAGTAATCAAATACAGGGTTTCTTGTCTCAGCTATAAAGTGCTTCCCAAACTCTAGCTTACGGACAAATATAAAATTGTTCCAACGTCTTTATTGCTTTATTTTTTAAGCTTATGTCTTTAATCCATCTGGAATTTATTTTTATAAACAGTGTGAGATAAGGGTCCAACTTCATCCAGATGGTTAATCAATTATGTCACAGCCATTTATTAAACAAAAAACAAACCTCCTTTTCCCACTGAATTGAAACACCATTTTGTCCTATGTTAAATTTCCATTTATCTGGAATCTATTTCTGAACTCCGCTCTCTTTCAATAATCTATTGATCTACATCTATTCCAATGTCATTAAGTTTCTGCTCCTGTAATTTTAAATATATTTAGCATCTGAGAAGGCAAATCTCTCCTTCTTTATCTCTGTTTTCATAATTTTCTTAGCGTTTCCTGCACATTATTCATCCATATGAACTTTAAGTTCATTTTATCCAAAGGGGTTGAAGAGACTGAGTCTAAATGAAATTGTATTAAATATATGCTTTAATGGTAGAAAAATTTATAGCTTTATGATATGAAGTATTCCCATCTAAACACATGACTTGTTTTCATCCATTTCTCTTTGATCTGGGGTTCATTTAAGGCGGCATGCCTCGGTGATCTCCTAGGTATGAAGATACATTTGTCAGCTATTCCTTATGGCTAATATTGTTAGATAATGATTAAAGAAGGTGGCCTGTGAAATGTGCTTGAGAATTAGTTAAGGTTTTGCTTGTGGTCAAACATATGATTAAATTCGGGTAGAGGGAGTGTTTTTGTGTGTGTACGTTTGTATGTGTACAGGGATACATCTGTGTGATACTGCCTGGTTCTTTCCCTTTCTATTGTACCATCTTAGCTCAGTCATCTCTTGATGATTCCTTGATACCATGTGACCCTACAATTTTATTCTGGTGGAATGTTCTATACTTCTACTAGTCTATAAGCTCTTTGAGGGCATGTAGTGTATGTGTAGAGTAGGGACATGTGTGTATGTGTAGAGTAGGGACACAAAAAGACAATCTTGAAATGTTCCCAAAGTAGCTTTTTCCCAAGGAAATGGTCCAAAGTAACAAGGCAGCCAGGTCTCCTGTTCAAAACGAAAATTATAGGAATTAACATGGCAACAGTGGACTCCTTTTGCATCAGGTGCATGATGGGATCTGGTGGGAATGTGGGCCAAGTAAAAGGAACCTGGGAGTGCAGGAAGTGGTAACCTTATCACCTCCTACGAAGAGCCATAGTCTAGACAACCTGGCAGCTGTCTGTCTTCTGTTATACGTCTCACTTCCTCCCAGACTTGCTGCACTGCCAACTGAGATTCTGCTGTTTCCCTGGTTCTCTGATAAGCTTGCTAAGTCTTGTCTAGTCCCTGGAGGTCACCCCTATCTTTCCATTTTCAAAAAGTTCTGGCCATATTATCATGCTGGAAGAAGGCAAGTTCTTTCAGTCCACTTCACCTGGACTGAAGTTCAATTGTCTTTAGGGAATTCTGAGCGCAGTAAAAGATCCCAAACCATTCCCACTAACTTATCTTCAACAAATGCCTGAACTCTCATTCATGCTGAATCTTCAACCCAGCATTTATATCCGCACCACACATCTTAGCACACTATCACATATTATCTAGTATACATGTATGTCTTAAATTGAATTCACAAGAGTGTCAGAAGTTTTAAAAATCACATTTTCAACAACTCTTTTAAAGTTTCCACATTTCCTTCTAGTTCTCACATATGTAGTTTTACATAACTATAATTATTCCATTTATTTATTCCACAAATATTTATCAAGCTTGCAACATATGCCAAGTGCTGCACAATGGTACTGATTATACCAGTGAACCAAACAGCTATGGTCCTTGCCCTCAAAGAGCTTATAGACTAGTAGAAGTATAGAACATTCCACCAGAATAAAATTGTAGGGTCACATGGTATCAAGGAATCATCAAGAGATGACTGAGCTAAGATGGTACAATAGAAAGGGAAAGAACCAGGCAGTCAAGGTACCCCTTAGAAGTAGCATGGGGCAGGACTGGAAGTGGGGGATGTGGATATAGAGGATGCTGGCGAGCAAATGGATGGATGGAGGTACCATAGGTACCATACATGGAGATGGGGCATACTGAGGGAGAGGCAGATGGGTGGAAGATTCAAGACTTCAATTTGGAGTATATGTAGTTCAAGATACTTGTGTGATACTTAAGCAGATGTGTCAAGTTGGGTATGGGCCTGGAGCTCAGAGGAGCAATCTGGGGTGGGGATAAAGGAGACATGAACATACAGATGATTTATAAAGCTATGGAAGTGGATAAGATTGTCTACAGACAAAATGTAGAGTAAGAAGAGAGGAAGAACCAAAACTGGGCCTTAAATGGCTCCAATATTTAGACACAGGGAGAGAAGGCACCAGCAAGGCCCAGCAAGGGAATTGAGGCCTGGCCACAGAGAAGAAGGAGAGCACGGAGTGGGCGTGCCATGGAAAGCAATGGAAAAGACAGTTTCAAGCACACTGTCAGCCAAGTAAGATGACCTTATAGTGTCCGCTGGAATGGCTGCATGGAGCAAGCACTGTTTCAGGGGAACAGTGGGGCAGAAACCAGGTTGGAGTGGACCTGAAAAGAAGAGACAGCATGTTTTTTCAGGTGCAGCGGAAGGAGAGAGGAGCCAGTGAGGCGAAGGTATTTTTGTGTAACTTGGGGTCCAGGCGAGTACGGTTAAAAAGCTGAAGCTTTGTCCTAAGAAACCCAGCATGGGACTCCTTACCAGGCTGATGGATCTTTCTTGAATCAAGCTGGATAAAGAGGGAGTGAAGACTTAAAGGGCAGATGGGATGCAGAGGCAGCTGGGGTGTCAATTAGCCGGCAATATCCACAGGGTCAAAGAATTGCTTGCTGTACAACACTCTTATCAGATCGACATATTATACTGAATCATTCCTTATTGCTAAACAGTTTCGTTATTTCCAGGTTTCTAATTCTATAAATGCTACTGCAAGAGCATCTTCATGCCTAGGGATTTTCTTCTTTCAAGTTATTTCCTCAGGATTCTAAGGCTGAAATTAATGCTTCAAACAGAATGAATATATTTATGAATTTTGAAACATGCTGCCAAACTGCTTTCCAAAAAGGTTGTGCTAATTGGCATCACCAACACTGGGTGTTAGCATAGCTTATTATCGCTTTAATTTGTATTTATTTGAAAACTAGTGAGGTTGAACATATTTCCATATTTCTATCTACTTTCTGAATCTCCTCTTGTGAGAATATCTGTGTTTTGGCCCAGTTACTTTTTGGTGTACTGATGTTTTTCTTTTTAATTTTTCTTACTGTTATTATCTTATGATGAATATTTTTTTAGTGGCAAATATTTTCCTGAAGTGTGTCCTTTAGTTAACTCTTTTTTTTTTTTTTTTTTTTTTTTTTTTTTTGACAGAGTTTTGCTCTTGTCAGTCAGGCTGGAGTGCAGTGGCACGATCTTGGTTCACTGCAACCTTCACCTCCCGGATTCAAGCAATTCTCCTGTCTCAGCCTCCCGAGTAGCTGGGATTACAGGTGCCTGCCACCATGCCTGGCTAAATATTTTTGTATTTTTAGTAGAGACAGTGTTTCACCATGTTGGCCAGGCTGGTCTAGAACTCTTGACCTTCAGGTGACCTGCCCGCGTTGGTCTCCCAAAGTGCTGGGATTACAGGCATGAGCCACCATGCCCGGCCAAGTTAACTCTTACTTTTTGTAAAAGGAAGTCATATATATGAATATTTTTCTTTTGTTATTACATACTATATTGCTTCAGAGGTAAAATTATGTTCAACTTCATTTTCTGTCAGTTCTTCTGTGACTTATCTTTACGTATCAATTTCTTAATTAGTCTAAATTTTATTTATATTTAATGTAAAATACGAAATTGTTTCCATAGTATAAGCCAGTTATCTCACACATTTTATGAAATAATTTTTGTTTCCTCTCATTTTATGATATCTGTTCCTTAAAAATTTTACATCTATTTCTGAGCTTTCTACTATATTCTATGAATCTATATTCCTATTTTTAAACCAGAATCATGGATTAAATTATTGTTGATATCTATCGATCATCTATGTTTGCAATCTAATGGGAGTGGTCTTGCCTAAATCAACTTCTTTCTTTTCAAAATATGTTTTGGATATTCTTGTTCAGCTCATGTTATTCCATGAGCTTTTATATTACATTTTTATAAAATTCCATGAATTTTATATTAACTTTAAATAAACACTAATTCAAAAATCATTGGAATTACATGAAATCAAGAAAAATAGGTGAGGAAGAAGTGCTACTTTTGTGATATCTTCTCAACAAGAAATGTAGAACATGCCTGAATATGTTCAAGAGGTTTTCCATATATTCTAAGAAAACGCTTTGTGTATTTTTGTTTTTATTTTTGTTTATGCTTATGTTTTTAATTGATAAGGTTTTGCTATGATAAATTATAAATAGCCTTAAGGCTGGGCGCAGTGGCTTACGCCTGTAATCCCAGCACTTTGGGAGGCCAAGGCAGGCAGCTGAGGTCAGGAGTTCGAGACCAGCCTGGCCAACATGGTGAAACCCCGTCTCTACTTAAAACATAAAAAAATTAGTCAGGCATGGTGGTGGCAGGCACCTGTAATCCTAGCTACTCAGGAGGCTGAGGCAGGAGAATCGCTTCAACTAGGAGGCAGAGGTTGCAGTGAGGGGAGATCACACCGTTGCACTCCAGCCTGGGAAACAAGAGTGAAACTTCGTCTCAAAAAAAAAAAAATAGCCTTAATACACCATTGCTCTGCTATCTAACTAGAATGGCTTAAGCTAAGTTGTTCAAAGCAAAATCACTATTTTTGGTAGCTGACTTCAACACATATCTCTTAGCAAAAATGGTTTTAAAGCAGGATATGTACCTTGCTTTTTAAGTTTATGGCTGAGTAGTTCTGTTGTTTTTATGAATAGGACCTTTTATTAATGAGGTTAAAAGTTTGTTTTATTTGACATGTAGTAAGGCTATTGATATTTAAATATTTATTGAACATTCAGCACTTCATTTAATTTTTATTCATTTGAATAATTTTTAAAGCTAACATATTTAGATTCTGCAGATATGCAGCCACTTAAGATGAGTAAATAATGGTTTTTGTATATTTAATTCGAATAATTATATGTATTATTTGTTTCTTGTGTTACTGCAGTGGACAGAGCTTTATAAATAATGTCAATAGTATTAGCAATGGTAGAATTCCTTGTTTTAGTTCTGATTTGTAAAAGAATGTTTCTAGGATGGGCATGGTCACTTATGCCTATAATCCCAGCACTTTCAGAGGCTGAGGTGGGAGGATCACTTGAGTCCAGGGATTTGAGACCAGCCTGGGCAACATAAGGAGACCTTATCTCTATTAAAAAAATTTTAAAAATTAGCTGGGTGTGGTGGTTCACACCTGTAGTCCCAGTTACTTGAGAGGCTGAGGTGGGAGGATTCCTTGAGCCCAGGGGTTCAAGGCTGCAGTAAATTATGATCACCTCTTTGCACTCTAGCCTAGGTGACAGAGTGAGACCCTGTCTTAAAAAAAAAAAAAAAAAAAAAAAAAAGTTCCAGTGTCTCTCCTCTAGGAACCACATTGTTTAAGAAATACTTTTATTCCAATTAGCCGGGCATAGTGGTATGTGCCTGTAATCCTAGCTACTTGGGAGGCTGAGGCAGGAGAATCCCTTGAACCTGGGAGGTGGAGGTTGCAGTGAGCCTAGATCATGCCACTGCACTCCAGTCTCAGTGACAGAGCAAGACTCCATCTCAAAAAAAAAAAAAAAAAAAAAAAAAAAGTAGAAAGCTGAAACTGGATCTCTTCTTTATATACCGTATACAAAAAATTAATTCAAGATGGATTAAAGACTTAAATGTTAGACCTAAAACCATAAAAACCTAGAAGAAAACCTAGGCAATACCATTCAGGACATAGGCATGGGCAAAGACTTCATGACTAAAACACCAAAAGCAATGGCAACAAAAGCCAAAATAGACAAACGGGATCTAATTAAACTAAAGAGCTTCTGCACAGTGAAAGAAACTAACATCAGAGTGAACAGGCAACCAACAGAATGGGAGAAAATTTTTGAAATCTACCCATCTGACAAAGGGCTAATATCCAGAATCTACAAAGAACTCAAACAAATTTACAAGAAAAAAAAAACTCCATCAAAAAGTGGGCAAAAGATATGAACAGACAGCTCTCGGAAGAAGACATTTATGCAGCCAACACACATATGCAAAGGTACTCATCATCACTGGTCATCAGAGAAATGCAAATCAAAACCACAATGAGATATAATCTCACGACAGTTAGAATGGCAATCATTAAAAAGTCAGGAAACAACAGGTGCTGGAGAGGATGTGGAGAAATAGGAACACTTTTACACTGTTGGTAGGACTGTAAACTAGTTCAACCATTGTGGAAGACAGTGGGGCGATCCCTCAAGGATCTAGAACTATAAATACCATTTGACCCAGCCATCCCATTACTGGGTATATACCCAAAGGATTATAAATCATGCTACTATAAAGACACATGCACACGTATGTTTATTGCGGCACTATTCACAATAGCAAAGACTTGGAACCAACCCAAATGTCCATCAATGATAGGCTGGATTAAGAACATGTGGTACATATACACCATGGAATACTATGCAGCCATAAAAAAGGATGAGTTCATGTCCTTTGCAGGGACATGGATGAAGGTGAAAACCATCATTCTCAGCAAACTATCACAGGGACAGAAAACCAAACACCTCACGTTCTCACTCATAGGTGGGAACTGAACAATGAGATCACTTGGACACAGGGTGGGGAATATCACACACTGGGGCCTGCCGAGGGGTGGGGGTCTGGGGGAGGGATAGCATTAGGAGAAATACCTAATGTAAATGATGAGCTGATGGGTTTAGCAAACCAACATGGCACATGTTACATATGTAACAAAACTGCACGTTGTGCACATGTATCCTAGAACTTAAAGTATAAATAATAATAATAATTTTATTTCTGTGTCTTTTGTATTTTTATTACATATCTCTGCTTTCCTTCTCCACCACATCAGTCATTCCACCAGGGGAACCCATGTTTACAACCTTGTATGAATTCTTCCATAGTTTTGCCTATGCTCAAATAATCATATAGAGACATATATACATAAATGTGTACAGGGACATTTTTTGGTCAATGTAAGATCATGCTAGGAACACTTTTATGCATCTTGCTGTTTTTACTCAACAAAACCTCACAGAAATCCCTCCAGGACAACTGGAATTGCTCTAATTATTTCTTTTTAATGCTGATCCCATAGTGAGTATGAGGATGTACTATCTTTTAATTGTTTTGTGGAAAGAAACAAAGCTTCTGTGAACAGAGCTTCTGTATTATATGGAAGTTTTTCTCTGCCTACAAAGTAACTAGAACGTTACTAAGCATATGATAGGCAGGTAGCAAGTAGCCTTTGAATAGAGCTAACAGATGGAACTGAACATGGCCCTAGACTGCCGTCTCCATAGGTCAGGGTCAGGTTCATTTAAACAAAGACCTGAGATTTTCAGGTAAGCCGAAGGTGGCAATAGGGTAGGAAATATTTTGAAATAATGTGATCAAGAGATAGAATCAGATGGCTTATCAACACTATTAAAACAGTTAGTCCGAAGTTGGTTTGAAAGGATAGCTTTAATCAAATTACAAACTTCTTATCTTCTTTACTTTGAGAGTGGTGGTGAGCTGGAGAGAGTGAAGCAGTGGCTGTGTGGGAAGTCTCTGGGAAGATTAGGGTAAACCACAGTGGGACTTAGGGCGAGGAAGAAAACACCAGTGGTTGTTTGGGTGGTAAGCAGTTTTTGAAATGTTCTAGACTAGATACAAACAGTGATTAATTTGTAATCATGAGCCCCTAGCTAGGTAAGGAAGTTGTATAAATAGCACTTTTTATTTAATGAACAAGCTACTTCTTCCCACTACATTTAGCTGAAGTACTATCCTTACATTTTTTTAAATGACATAAGAAAAAAAATCTTCCAGAATCTTAACCACTAATCAGAGTCCTGGGTATATTCAAGGATTATGGTATTCTATTTTCTACTATTCTCTATTAGCCCCAAATTTGGCTATTTTTCAGACTGATGAGAGAAATTAGAATTTGGATACACCTAAGTTTAGATGCCTAAGAATCTTTTCCAACGAATCAATTCACTCTGATTCAGGGCTCGTAGAAGTTTGTATGAAAGTTCTTTTTTTTCTTTTTTCTCCAGGAAGACAACAGAAAGTGACAACAGCCAAATAGCTTTAAATCTGTTAGTTCTGATCAGTTACGACTTAAAAGCTTGATTCTTTTATTATTTATCACTCATTAAATACTTTGGCTCTCCTTTATTAAATGTTAAATCATCGTAAGTGGTAAAGTTCTTGCCATCTCTCTGAAATGGCAAAGTGTAAGGGAAAAGAGAAAGTGGCCCATTTCCTTGTTAATGTGGCATTCAAACAGAACACAGTGAGCTCAACAGACAGGTCAGCTGGCTGCTGTACAATTATTCATAACAGAGGACTCCGTGCAATTATTCATAACACAAGAGCCGTCATTAGGGAGAACATGTCTCCTTATAGCACCACTGAGATTGCAAGGCAGGAATTCCCTTTTCCCGTAGGGCATGGTCGGCATGTGCATCTGAAAATGCTTAAATATGCTCCTTGCTCCCTTCTCTTATCCAATGACAGGGCTGATGTGTTGTCAAGAGTGGTGCTGCCATAGCGAGAGCCCACTGGCTTTCCAAAGGACCTCACATGCGATAGTCACTGCCCACGTTGGCCTTCTCTCCATCTCTACCAAGACTGTTGGAAGCTATGTTCGTAAGATGGTTACTGGAGAAGACTCAACACATTAGGATAAGGGACCATTACACTAAACAAAATTCTGCAATTAAGCCACATTTAAGGAATCTCGTTGACCATGAATCTGAACTTCTTTTTTCTCTACTTTCAAAAGCAATATGTATTTCTACTACATTAGAAGTCCAACTCTTCTTCCAGTTCAACCATTGAGAGTCATCTTCAGCTCCACAAGACAACAAACTCCACGAGAGCAGGCCCATGATGTGACTTGGTTACTGCTATATCCCCAGCACCTTGCAGAGTAGACGGCATCTGGTAGGCATTCAATATTCATTAATGAGTGCTAAATGAATGGAGTGCTATCACTAAGCATGTTTGATTGCGAATAGATGTTTTACACACAGAAGGAAGTCAGCGTCCGCTGTGCAAAATGAGACAATACAATGAGGACAAATTAAAATCTTTCCTCTTACCTTGTCTTTACTGCTTCGAATTATCTGAATTTTAGGGCACTTTTTCACTCCAGACGAAATATCCAGCCAGTTTTCTAAGTTCTCTGAACGTACACAATCTCCTTGGAAAGTGCACCTAAAAAAATGCGGCAACAAAACAGCGACCCCATACATGCGTTAGTTAAAATTTTTAATACTTGGCTTCAGTACAGAATGCCAGACTTTGTACAGTGGATTATTGATTTGAGAGAGAATAGGAACATGATGCTAAAACCATGAAAAGCAACAAGAAAACAGCAGAGCATTTTTTTCCATCATGTCTAGGAGCAAAGAACAAATGTAGACAACGTGTTGAACTTCGACTCCTGAGCCATCTCTCAAGATGACATTGCCAAATATATCCGAACACATCCTCTCATGGATTCTGAAATAAGGAACTCCCTTTTAGAAATACCTAGCAAAGAACAGCTCATGGAAGAAAGAGTTCACATATTGTATAAATTTTAGGTTTGCTATTCATTCCCAGAATATCAACCTATTGTGTAACTTGATTTTGTTTTAAAAAATAATAATAATAAAGTTACTATTTTGTGCTTTGCAGTAAGATAATTAAATAGAAATATTTCAAGGGCAGAGTCTGCCTAAGAATTTGATAAGACATTCCATAACCATCTGCTGCATAACATTTATTTAGACAGATACCAAATTATATCAAAAGATATAGGTGAAACATTTTTCCAGGGCCATTTTCCCAAGTCAGCCAGCTCAGAGGATGACCCAGATAAGTCTTAAGCTGTGGCCAGGGTCAACTACTTTGATAAAGAGATGCTCAGAAGCTGAGTGGTGAGGTCACTGGCTTGCTTGATATGTCAGTCACTCTAGGTCACGTTAACTTGGGAACCCTTGCCTCACCAGATGGGGCACCAAGCCGGCAAGAAGAACAAACACCAACAGCCATGTTACCACCAAAGGGTGCTGGACTACATAGATAATCCATTGAATAGTGTCAAGGAAAGAACGAAATACTTCTAGTACTATACCTCCTCAAGGCTGAAGATTAAAATGCAGGGGTGGTAAACCAGTGATGCTGAATTTTAAAAGAAACTGAAAACACATGAATCATAAGATTGAAAAGCAACCAAGTGATGACCACATTCAGCTACGGGGAGTCCCCGAGGGGATGTGAGCGGAATGAGGAATGGATGGGCCCAAATAGTGTATTTGGCTTCTTAAAGGTTTTATTTCTTCTCCTTCCTCTACTCTCTCTCTCTCTCTCTTAATTCTTAAGAATTTAGGCCTCATGGCTTCATCTTTGAGCTCTGTGTTAATCTGAATATGGCAAAAATAGAACAGGAAGTCAGTGAGTTTCACTAAACGTCATCCCCAAGCACAATACCTTTAGCATGTCACCGGCTGCTGACATTTGGGGAACCCTGCTCCCAGCGAGCACATCTGTGTTCCACCCCCCACTACATCTGTGTCAGTTTCTTCTCCAACATTATAACCAGGAGGATTTTCATCAGCAATTCTCCAAAGCCATACATTTATCTGACCCTTGATGGCTAGCTCGTCCGTCACGGACATTAAATTCAAATTAAACCGCCTCTCAATGTCAGAGAGAGTTTGCAAGGGAGAGACAAGCACTGCTGGATTGAAAAACAGAATGACGAAGCTGGTTCTTTCGGTTGTATCTGAAATAGATCATGACTGTCAAAAACTCCCTGCCTCTCATGGGCACTCTGGTTTGTGTAAGGCACTTCCTCTGCCTATAAGAAAAAAAAAAAAATAAGCCGATTCCGAAGAGACTGGAGTACAAATATTTTTGTTGGCTCTTAATGCTGCCTGGGAGTCAAAGCCTAAGGCTGCCAAAAAAACAAGTGTAAAATATTTCATACAAATAGTGCCACAATTTGCCAATTTGTAGGCAGAAAACAGTAGTGCCACTGAGTTATCACTCTCTTTTCTGAACTCCTATAGCATTTCTTGTCGGAAGTATGTATTTTGGTATTTAATCATATGCTGCCTTGAATTACAACTTAACTGTTTCCTAAGTCTATCTCAGTTCTCCCCAAGTAAGCTCTAAGCTCCTCAAAGAAGGGAGAAGGTCTTTAATATTTCTTTAGCAAATCCCTCAGTGTCTGGCAGCATGATATGCAAATACTAGGGTTTCAATAAATATTTTTGAATGAAAGGATGAAATATGAAATCTCTATAGGTTTTTTCCATTGCTGATTTTTCTTTCTAGAGTTTTAATTCATGTCTGACTCCAACTTATGCCAAAGAGACTATTTTTAAACTAAGCTAAAAGTTTGAATCTGGGGACCAAATTAGGGGGTGAGGTTTTCATTTTATTTTTTTGAAAAAAAAAGAGAAAAGAAAATATATAATGAACCTTTCATTTTTTATTCTGCATAAGGCAAAACCAAAATCTAACTATGTTAAGCAACTAAACATAAATTCCTTGTTTGTACATATAGAGATAAAAAAACCCCACCACCTCTGAACTCCTATTCCTTGCCTCTCACCAGTAAAAATAAAAAATGAAAAAATGAAAAGCAAACCATGACATCAAGTATGTATAACCAGATGGCCAGCCAACAACAGTATCTTATTACTTCTCAAATATTGCAGATTATAAAATCTTCATGACAGCATATTACTCATACATTTACATTTCTTACAGAGCAGATCTTGTAGCTCCCATATTTTAGTAAACAAAGCTAGTTACTCCAAAATATTTCCTTTCGAAAGCTATCACTCTAATTCCTGCGTGTTAACAAGAGCAATGGTCAAGTGCATAAACACTTGAGCCACTGCCCTAATTAAATTAAAATCTCATTGTCACACAGGACTCGTAGCGAGGCTGATTCTTCAGTGATGCACTCTCAGATAGGCTGATATCTTAATGGCTTCATTTCAATTTCTTCAGGCCAAGAATAGGAGGAGAATTGGATTTGGATAAAAATGGACATATTCTAGAGAAATTGGTAGAGATACGTTTGCTTTCTTGACTTATTGTTACTTTTGCTCCACCCTCTACTGAGGATCTATCCCAAAGTCCTCAGACTCCCAGTCAGTATTTTATTTTTCTAGTCCTTATTTCCAGTTAGAGCTAATACTTTCATGATAAAGCCTGCAGGCAGACACAAGCCTATTTGCAAATTAGAAAACAGAATCTGCCCAAACGCAAAGATTGCCTGAAGAAAAAAAAAAATCCCCCAAACAAAAAAGTTAATTTAAAAAGACTTCCCTTATGTGAAAAACACTGTACGTAGAAACAATTCAGTCAATGAAACTATTTAAGAAAGCTGTTCTTGTTAGTTTGCTATAGAATCTGCTGTAGAGCTTAACGTAGTTGAGATAATACTAAAGTTTGATATTGCCGTTCAGCTACGTAAGTATGTAACCGCCCCCTCCCTCACCCCCAACAGATTAAAAAAAAAAAAAAAAAAAAAAAAAACAGTTCCAAACCTACTCTGACCCCGAGTCATAAACAGGAAGGTCCCAGACACTTGTTTCTAAGTTCACTGTTTGAAACTTAGAAAGTCTTTCTATACAATGGGTTTGCTTCCTGGGTTCTTAGAAATATGTGTAACCCACAGTATCCCTGAATAATTACCCCACCACACACTGGCATGGAGGGAATATTACTCTGTGCCAGGCACTGCTGGGAGTGTTTGCAGTTAGTTCTCACAACAACCCCGCTCTATACAGATGAAACAGAAGCTCAGGGAAGTACAGTAACATATCAAGGCCACACAGCTGCCAAGTGGTCGAAGTCTTATTTCAGAGCCCACAAACTTGGCCCCCTTGCTGCATGCCTTCCTATGGATCCTAACCACCACTTAATAAAGGACATTCATAGTTCCTCCTGGCTTCCTGGGACCTCAACCAGTGGTTGGAGAGTGGGGCTGGGCCAGGACGAGGACACAGGGATGGGGACCCCAGAAACAGAGAAAAGAGAAGGTAAGGCAGAGACTGTAGGATGAAGAGGGTAGCAAGGATTTGGGGGAGAACACAGAAGCGGGGATTCTGAGAGGCCTCTAATTTTCCTCTATCACTAGCTGTGAATACAACACAACCACACAACTAGCAAGAGGTGAAAATTCCAGGCAGCTCTGGACTTAGAAATCCATTCTACTGCCAAAAAATTTTTCTTGCAGACCATCTGTTTCTAATATAAAATGCATTTTCCTCCATAGAAATAATGTTATAAACAGTGATTAGGTTTCCAGGTTAGCCCACAAAACCTACTTATCCATAATGTAACTTTACTACTATATATTTGCAATAAAGAATAGCAGAAAACAACGAGATTGCAGCCATTTGCATTATATAGCAGTTTTCTTCTTATTTGTGTTTCTGCTCAGCTGGTAGTCTGGGAACAGTGCTCAGCTGGATCGACTTTTAAATTTATTATTACAGTATCGTATTTATACAGCATTTCTTTTTTTTTTTTAATGGGCATGGCTTAAATTATTAATTGTTTTCATGCCAACATAAAGAGCAGGGAGGCCCACCTCTAAAAAGGAGCCGAAGTTTCCAAGCAGGTAAAATACCCATGGGCTGGGCTGGGGTGCCTTGAGAGGCCGACTCTATCAGGCTAGAATCTTGCAGTAAAAATTTACCACTTACTCAACCTTGAAATAGAAACTCTGAACTCAGAAATGTAACTTCTACTTCCTGCCACTCAAATTTCATCAGCATCCTCTAATCTAATTGTTCACCAAGAGCAGACAGTCCCTGAAGGAATCTGATAACTACATATCAGGTAAGTGGCTTGAATGTGGGGATTAGTGTGAACTGTTCCAAAGATTCTACACTGATATAATATCAGAAAACTTTTAACAAGGAAACAATCCAGCTTCTCTCTCTCCCAGGAAACAGGAGACTGCATCCATGCTGGGGGAGGGCTTTGCTATAAAAGCATCTCAAGGTCTTTTGCTAAGTGATTTGAAACAGATGTCTGCATTTTTAGAGAAGGCACAGAGCCCAGTGGAGGGGCCAGGTGGTCCCCAGCATCGGGGGACTTTCTTGACAATTGCCAGTCCACGAGATGAGGAAACCAAGCCTACTGAATAGAAGAGAATAGGAAGTCTGTGACAAACTAATCTTCAAATGAAAGGCCTCCAGAGT